TTTTTTTGGTTGCAGCCGTCATTGTTGTTTGGCGGGTCCGGGCTGGGGATTCGAACCCGTCACCCCAGGTGTACGTGGCTGGCGCCTTAGCCAGTTGAGCTATAGGCGCCGAGCCAAAGTTTCTGTTCTTAAAAGTTCACTGTTTTGTATTTGGTTCCATAGGTCATGTGTACAATCAGCATGGACTTCTGAGCCAAATAAGGACTTAATGATTTTTTCTTTCAAGATGAGAGATTTGAGGGGATAATAGAGAAAGAGCTACTGCAGAAGTTTTAGAGCAGCAGTTCTCAACCTTCCTACCACCATGGCCCTTTAATACAGTTCCTGTCATGACCCACAGGTTGAGAATCGATATTTTAGAGGAGTGATAAAAGAAATGATAAAAATCTACATCAAGATGGCTGAAAACTATATAAAAGAGGAAAATGGTAGAGAAAAAGTCAGCAGAATTTTAGTTTTTAGTTTGGTTTTAGTTAAATCTTCCCTTCTGGAACAGATCCAGATAGTAACTATCAGTGCCAAAAAGCCCTACTGGGCCTTGGCACTGGGAATCTCAATACTGACCTTCAAGCTAGACTTCCTAGATATTGAGGAGTGGTCTTCTCAGAGGTCAGCTTCCATGACAGTAGATCCATTTTAGTTGTCTTATAGGTGAGGCCTTCTGCAGTAGCCAGGAGGCCATCCCTGACTCCAACTAGATTAGCATCTCTCATTAGATCTTTAATTCTCCCATCAGCTTTATGTAAGTTCTTTATCCCCTACTGGACTACAAACTCTGTTTTAATTTCAAAATATCCTTACCTTAATCCAGGGTTCTACATTGTCAGGATCAAAAGGAGCCTGTGTGAAAAATACACACAGAATGTTAATATACAGCTTTATCATCTTTGCCATTTTAATCTATCCTAACTAAGCATGTGGAAAAGTTGGAAAGTTCAGCACTGATTAGCAATAATTGACATAATAATTAACTATAATACAATATGAAGCCTTTTCTGGGACATAGCCTGACTTTATATTTCTTGCCTGGGACCATCTTGAGATTCTGATTTAATTGGTCTAGAATAGGGCCCAAACATCATTTAAAGCTCCCCACAGTTAAGAGCCAAGATATAAAAACCCTGGTTAATTAGCCAAACAAGCACTGATTAGCCAGATTATCTAAGTAATCTTCTGCATGGAGAAGGGTATGTTCCTCCCTTTACTCTTCCAGAGAACCTATAGCAAGAGGCTTTCTTATCTTACCTGGATCAAGGATACTGTAAAAACCTGGGAGGGGGGGCAGATTGGGGTCTTGTTGTGTGCCACACCTTTTGGGGGCAAGACACGATTGCCAAGAGGGACTTTACATAACAAATGCAATCAGTGTAATCTGGTTTCTTGCACACTCAATGACTCCCCAATATAAAAAAAAAAAAACCTGGGGGGAGCATTAATCAATCTGACTTGTGTTTTACAAAGCAGAAAATGAGGTTGAAAACAAATTTCCACCCAAATCAGTCAGACATTAATCTGAAATTAGACATCAGATCATTAAGACATCTCCTTTCTTTACTCCCGGTAATATTAGAGAAGCTAGCAGAAGTTTCTCTAATATTCACTTAACAAATAGAGGTATTTGCTTCACTAAAAATCAGGTGGGTTTTAAAAATAAGTATCTAACCTAGCATACTAAGCACAGAGGTGGGAAAAGTATAATAACATTTCACATTCAAGCACCTTACAGATAACTAATTAATGCAGCTGTCCTGCTGAATAATTTTGTCACTGCAACAAAGAAAGAGCTCATCCTATTAAAACACAACTGAACTTCAAGGAGCTCGGTGTTTTTATCTTTTTTTCCCTTTAGGCAGTAACAATGAACACAAGCAGCAAAAATTCCTCCTTCTGGAGTCCTAAGAAATTGTCCCAGATTTTTACCTTTCATCATCAAGTCTATATCCTTAACCCATTTAGGATCCAATCTGTTATGAAACTGATGCATTGCAACAGGAACAGCCTCAGTTTCCAAGTCTCTCTAATGCTCTAGTCTGCACTCTCCAATATTGGGGGCAAAATATTTACCAGGTGCGATATGTCCACTGCATTTAGTTGGTAAATTCAGAATAAACTGCAAGAACAATTGCCTGAAGCCTTCACAAAGGCCACACATCTACAGAATACTTTCTAGAAAAGTGTAAGAGGGAAACAGCTGGTGAAATTGCTTTGAAGCTGAAAGCTGAGAAACTTCTCCATTTTGGTAATCTCACATTTAAAGCAATTTTTTTTTTTTTGGACTGTTAAAAAGGTAGCTTGTGGAAAGCACACACCGTGTGACTGTGACTTTGCACATGTCACTTACATATGTTTCAACTTTAAAATGGGGTTATCTGTTTTTTTCTTGTCTTCAGTTGCAATGCATCAAAAGGGGTAACAAATATGAAGATGGATCTAGTTTTTGAATGTTAGTTAAATTTAGAAATTCCCATGTGAATCAAGTATTACTATATTTAACATTCACTTGCACCCGAGTTCTTTTTAGATACTTTGTGTAAAACTGGATGGGCATAAACATAGGTAAAGCATTTAATGTGAAGACCTCTGGCGTTCAATAAAGATCCGTTCCTCAAGATTTGCTAAACAAAAAAGAGAAGAGAAGAGGAGAAATGTGTGGTAAGTCTTCAGAAAATTGCGGTTGGGGGATGCGTGTTCTTAAATTCCCTTCACCCTGATGGGCCTTAGCAGACTTTTCCTGTTTGAGAAAAGCTATGGATGGAAATAGTTCTTCCACGATGCTGCCCACAAAAGCCATAAGGTGCCCAGACCCCAAAGCTCCGAGAACCACTTCACTCAGGGCGATGCTGGCCCGGAGGCAGTCAAGGGAGGGGCATGTCAGGTAAGGACGCTGCTCTGAGGGAAAGGGAGGGAACACAGCAGGTGCCGCGGCAGGCTTCCGGACTGGGCAGTGTCTAGGGTAGGTCCCCGCCCCTCAAAGCTCCCGATCGGGATCACCTTGGGATTCGGCTTTCTCGTGAGCTGTTTCCAGCGATTCAGTCCCATCCTCTTTTTTGAGGAGGACCTTTCCTGGGTCGCCAGCGGCATTTTCCAGGTTCAGGCCCAGACTTCGAACAACGCTGCAACAACCACTCTTCTTCCCGGGCTGTTCCCGGATCACTCTGGGAGTTGTAGTCTCTCTGCCCGCAAAGAAAGCACGTGTACGACGCAGTCGGACCACCACTCCCAGCAGGCGTTGCGTGGGCAGATCGCGTTGGCTCAGTTACTATGGCCACGGCGGCGCTCCGGTGCCTCGCGGTCGCCGGGGTTGGCTTTGATCTCGCCCTAGACTGTTTTTGGCGCCCGGTGATGACGCAAGTGCTCCCTTATTGGCTCTGCAGTGGAGGCGGTGGTTTAGGGGATCAAGAATTCCGCAAGCCGGACACGTGGTAGTGAACTGTGAGGAGTTTGAGCTGTTTGAAGGGCCAAAGAGTTGGGCAGTTTGCAGGTAAGTACCCCCTTCCACCTGGTGTGGGAGCTGCCGGGGGTGGATGAGTTGCGTCGCGCCCAGACGCTTCCTGGTCGTGTTGCAGTAACACTGTTTTCCTACCTTGTTTCTCTTTCCTTTTTCTGGTTTCTGGTGGATCTTAGGCTCTGTTAAGTTCAGATTTTCCCAAATCGTGTGAGCGTAGCTGACATCTCTGAAAGTTAAGGGTCCCCTTTCGGCTGGCCTCTACTCAAAGGTTAAATTCTCAGGAAGAGTTTTTTCAGAACTGCCCAGAATACTTGGGAAGGTGGGACGGTCTCCCATCCCTGATCTAAGTGCTTAGCGAGGTCTGGGGCCCCAAGATGGCCCATTCAGCGAAGATAAATCTAACTTTATTGGCTGAGCCTAGATGTTTCCAGGGAGAATCCACTCAGGGAGACTGTATGGGCTTGTAAAGTAAACTAGAGATTTATAGCGGGAGCTTTGGGCCCAGCTACTTTATAGCTGTATGAGTATAGGCAACTTGTTTAATAACTCTTGAGAAAACTAAATTTTCTCATTGGCAAAATGGGGGGAGGATAATATCTAAATCATTGGGGGTATTGTAATGATGAAATATCAATGTATGTAAAGCATTCTGACAGGCTATGTATTCCAAAGTTGACTTGAATTTGAAAGTGAGGTCAGGAAAGCCGTATCCTCAGACTGTTGTAGAACCACCTCTGTAACTTAAGTGTCCATCATAAAGGGGATGGTTGAATAGGCTGTGTTAGTACACACTATGTAGTATCATAGAGTAGTTCTTTTAAAAGGATAAATTAGTTCTATGTTTCTTCTTTATTAAAAATACTAATTGTGTATTCCTGAGAGAAAGGCAAATTGCAGAGAAGTGTATATAGTTATAATATGTTTCCATTTTTGTAAAAGCAAACCATGGCACCAAGCACCCCCTCTTATATTCAGTATGTTTAAATACTTGTATGAGTGTGGAGAAAGGTTGTGGAAGCGGGGAGGATGAAGCAGAGGAAAGAGAAAGGGTAAAGAACAACAAGAACAAGGTAGCAAAGTGGAAAGTGGTTATAAAGTTATATCTTAATATTACAGCTAATATGTAAACATTGCCTGTGTTCGTGGACAAGATGGAACTTCTAATAAACTACTACTAGCCTATTAGAGTACAATTTTTTTTTTTTTTTTTGAGGCAGTGTTTCACTCTGTTTCCCAAGCTAGAATGCCATGGTGTCAGCCTACCTCACAGCTCACAGCAACTTCAAACTCCTGGGTTCAAGCTATCCTCCTGTCTCAGCCTCCCAAATAGCCCAAACTACAGGTGTCTCCCACAATGCTCAGCTAACTTTTCTATCTTTAATAGAGACAGAGTCTAGCATTTGCTTAGATTGGTTTTGAATTCTTGAGCTAAAGCAATCCTCCTGCCTCGGCCTCCCAGAGTGCTAGCTAGGATTATAGTCATGAGCCACCATGCCAAGCCCATATTTTCTATTTTTGATGTACTTTTTGGTTTGTTTTCCTCATTTTTCCCTTTTATTGGATTAATCAAGTTTTACTTATCTTCCTCCATCCCTCTCCAATAGGTTTAGAAATTATACATTCATCTTTTAATGGTTACTTCTGGACTTTTAACATACATACTTTAAGTTTAACATTATTCAGTGTCTCTCTCCACCTACCATATAGAGTAAGGATTTCATAATAACTCTACCCTTTGAAAAGTCTTCTTCTGTTACTGTTTTTTAGGATTTTAGTATTTCTGTGTCATTTGTGAATCAGCACAGTGTACCATATTGTTTAGAATTCCTTCAGACTTTTTTCTATGCTTAGATAAGCTTTATAGATAGAGTGTGAATGTTGGGTGGGAGGGTGGGGGTAGAGATGTAGATACGTACTTACAAATATAGTTTTCTTTTCACACACAAAAAATGTGATCACTCAAACTTGCTCTTTTCCCTTAGGAAATTTGGACATTTCCTTTAGTGTATGTAGAGAATCCATCTAAGAAATATCAAAAAATTCTTCCTTTCCTGATAGATGAGAGGTGGGGGTTGAAGGTGGTACTACAGGAGTTAGGACAGGTGCAGTGTTGCCAGGAGGGCAGGGAATCTTTGTTAGTCCTCATAAAGGTACACATTCACTGACAGATTATCATTTGTCCTTATAGTCTAATGGTTTTTCCTTAAGATTTTTCTAGGAACTCCATCTGTAGAAGTGAAGTGTAAATTTTTGGATATTTAAAGAAGTGCAACACCAAAAATAATAGATGAGACCCACAGCAAGTGAAAGGGGAAAGGAAGATGATAAAGGCAAATAAAATCAGTTGATATTTTGGAGACTATTGATCTGTATTGACAGTTGATGGAGACAACTCCTATGTGACTAATGGGCAGAGAGGACGTACAGTGTGGATACACTGGACAAAGGGATGACCCATATCTGGGGGGATGGAATAGGACAGCTTTTATTCTATCATGCTACTGAGAAGGGCATGCAATTTCAAGCTTATAAGTTGTTTTTGGATTTTTCCATTTAATATTTTTGGACCTTGAATGACATCAGGTAACTGAAACCACAGAAAGCAAAACTGTGAATGGGGACTATAGTATTAAGAGTACCAGTGCTTTTCCTTTAGTTGACTTTATGTGCAAGAAATAATATGACTTATTTCTATTCTGATTTTATGAGTATGCAGCATATTTGGGTTCCTGCATGGCATTCTGCAGGGCAAAAATGCACTGATTGGTCTACTTTCCTTTTTTTGAATAATAATTATGCAGTTTGATTTTGTTGCTTAGTGTCAGAGGTGAGTTGGTTTGAGCCTGAACCAGAGAACCAGAGTGATGGATTTTTGCTGTGTGTATGTACAAGATCAGGCTCAGAGCTTGCCAGGCTACAGCCTAGCAGCCCTTTGAGGGAATAGCAGTGGCTATACATGTATGTCATTCTGTTGGCATAGGTCAGAGGGCTTGAGAATTCCTTTTTTTTTTTTGGAGATAGAGTCTTGTTCTGTTGTCCTGGCTAGTGTGCAGTAAACTCCTGGGCTCAAGCAACCTTCCTGCCTTAACCTCTGGAGTATCTATAGCTATAGGCATGTACCACCATGCCCAGCCTATTTTTTCTATTTTTGGTAGAGATGAGAGGCGGGTAGGGAGGATATTTCACTTTTGCTCAGGCTGGTCTTAAGCTCCTAACCTCAAGTAATCCTTCTGCCTCAGCCTCCCAGAATGCTAGGATTATAGGTATGAGCCGCTGCAACTAGCCGGGAGTTACTTTTCCTATGACTTTACACAGTGTGTTCAGGGTGTGTGTGTGGGGGGGGGATATTTCACAGATTTCATATATAATTTTGAAACTTTTTCTCTTGCTTTGAGTGGCCATGGTTGCTGTAGGTTATTCTAAAAATAAGAAAAAAAATGTCAGAATGCATCTTATGGCATGTTAGATTTACTCTCTTTTAAAAGGCATAATATAAAAAGAACATAGGCCTTCTTGCATGAGGCCTGGGTTCTAGACCAAGCCTCTAATTAATCTTGCTGAGCCTCAGATTCGGTCTCTGATTGTAATGGTGGAACTCTGGAAACCACATTCAGCATTTCTAAGGTCTAATGGCAATCACACATACTGGGATGTTAAGTACAGCTTTAGTAAGCATTGAGTTTGTCGTTTTTTACCTGGAACTGAGGCAACTCAGCATGGAAAAGCAGATTATCTCTTGTTTATCAGAAGCTCCGTCAGTCATGGATGTCATGTATGAATACACTGCAGAAATGAGAGCAGAGGTTTGGTGGGGAGAGATAATAAGTGTTGGTAACATTCTAGAATCCTAAACTTCATCTTCAAAAGTATTAGTTTTACTATATGAAGGCTCTGCCTACCTTATTTTATTATTATTATTTTTTGTTTCTAGTTAATGTGAGAGTACCAACAACCAGGTCACAATATTGGCATTTGTTAGGTAGATACCCTCTTGTAATTATGTCTCACATTCAAAAAGTGTGTCATAAACCCCTACATTGTGCTCACTACCCAAACTCCCACACCTCTGCCTCCTCTCGCTCCAACTTGAATTGAGTTTTTCTCCTATGGGGATATGAATTAGATCATCTGTGGTCTGCTTACCTCGATATGAATTTAATTTAAAAAAATACAGCTCTGGCAGCACCTGTAGCTCAGTGGGTAGGGTGCTGGCCTCATGTACCCAGGGTGGCTGGTTTGAACCCCGCCCTGGCCAAATGCAAACAAAAAAATAGCCAGGCATTGTGGCGGGTGCCTGTAGTCCCAGCTACTCAGGAGGCTGAGGCAAGAGAATCACCTAAGCCCAGGAGTTGGAGGTTGCTGTGAGCTGTGATGCCACAGCACTGTACTGAGGGCAATAAAGTGAGACTCTATTTCAAAAAATAAATAAATAAATAAATAAATAATACAGCTCATATGTGTACTTTTCTAGGACTTTCTATAGTATGTTCAGAAGTGGGGGGGCATTTCACATATAATTACTTTCCTTACACAGCTTGGACAAGACAGAATTTTTGGAATAAGGAGAGGTGCCAGCAAGTTCATGTCTCCAGCTCTTTCTGGGGTAGCTCCAGACAATACAATTTCCTCTAGTCTCATCTGTGTGAGGGTAGGAATTGTTTAAGTTATTTCAGTTTTAAAAGTCTTGGTCCATTGTATTTTCATTAAGTTTTTATTTATATATCAAAAATATAGTGTTCCATATTGGTTGATTTTAGTATTCAGTCAGAATAACAGGTGTTGATGCATTAGCTTCGAAGTTCATTTCTTATTTTTGTGCTTCACTGGCCCTGCCACAATTCTCCAGAACCACTCAGATTGCAAAATACTGTCTTTAATCTTGCTTAAGAGGTCTGTTGGATTAAAATATAAAAAATATTTTTATCACTTGAGATCACTATATCTGATAAATAAGTAAGGAATATGATTCTTCTTTTATGTTTTCTAGATTATATTTTTGTTAGCCTGTAATTGTGTTTTTCTAATTTTTTTAAAAATAAACTTTCTTCTTTTGGCAGTTTTAATGTGTGACAACCATGAATCAAATAGCTTTTATACTATTTTTGTTAAAATATAATACAACTTTTTTCCTTTAACAGTCTCCATTTCTGTGGGTTCTAATAACTTTCGTTTTTATGTTTCTATCCTTGTGATAATTTGAAATAATGTTATAGTCATAGAAAATTGACCAGGCTTTCCTCTAACAGTTATATTAGTTTACATATTAATAATTCATGTTTAACATGAAATCTCTTATCAGACCATATAGAAAGTAGTTATTCTTATCTAACAACTATACTGGTGATTTTATTTAAATATAAGAATTTATGTTGTTTGGGCTTGGTGACTCACGCCTGTAATCCTAGCAATGTGGGAGGCTGTGGTGGTAGATTGCTTGAGCTCAGGATTGGAGACCAGCCTGAGCAAGACCGAGACCCTGTCTCTACTAAAAAAATAGAAAAACTGAGGCAAGAGGATCTCTGCAAGGGTCTGAGGTTGCTGTGAACTGTGATACTATGGCAGTCTACCCAGGGCAAAAGAGTGAGATTTTGTCTCAAAAATAAAAAGAATTCATGTCTCCCAGAAAAGCAATTTTTGCATGTCTGAATATTTTTAACTAATGATAGATAAGCCTTATTTGTTTGGCAGCATCTTAATAAATGGTTGACTTTCAGAGAATGGTGTAGTATACTGCTTAAAAGCAGACTCTAAGGCTGGAGTCTGTTAGATAGCTGGAATAATTTGTCAACTAATAAAACTGGGCCTGGCTCAAGAATTCCAGAGGAATGGTACTTGCTGTAGAGATGTAATGAAGTATTTTTGTGTTAATAAAATGTTGGTATGTCTGGTGACATTTTGCAAATGATCTGCCATGCATACTTATTAAGTTCTGTGGTGCATTTTGAAAGTGGAACTCAGTATTTTGTTTCACTGAATACTAAATTATTTAAGAGCATCCAACAAATAATTGATGTTTTCTGATTTGTTTCTTTGTTGTTATCGATCGAAATTGGAAGGTACCTATATCTTTATTTTTTCTTTACACAAATATTTGTCTTTCTCAATTATAGAAGTAATGACAAATTGCTTATAGATCTCATGTATATTACATAGTTTCTCAACCATCTGGATGCCACGTAAGAACAAATTGGAAAATAATCCTACCTCAGAGATGATCTCTGTTCATCTTTTATTGTGTATTCTTCCACCAAAATGCTATTTTGAAACTGTTTTCTTCACTTGTCTTAACAACATTGTTGGGGAAAATTGCTATATTGCAATTGTATGAATTAACTGTATTCTCTTAAATTAGAGAAGGAAAAAATTAATCAGTATGGCCTGAGCAGTGTGACTGTTCTGTATATATCTTTTCAAGACTGAGAGTAAGCCTAGGCTTCCTGGTGTCCTTTTCATGATTAGTCTTCATACTTCTGTCCTCTGATTTGTTTGGTTTTCATCAGCTCAGACAAAAATTCCATTCAACTTAAAAGTAGTTGATGTCATCAACTGGAACCTTGGAGGAGGTATCTGATTTTCTCTGTGTCTTCCCATTCTCCTCTTCTTGACATCTTAGACAGTTGTGGACTGGAAGTAGTAATGAACGTGCTTTCATTTATTTTTCTGTAGGTTGCTTTCTTTGCAAAATGCTTAACCTTTAGATGTTGTGAAGCTCCTTCTAAACTTAATGTCCTTTTCTTGTCAGGACCGAGAGGAATCCCTTAGGATGAAGCTGAATCTTACTAAGGTAGTTAATGGCTGTCGCCTGGGTAAAATAAAAAACCTGGGCAAAACGGGCAACCACACCATCGACATTCCAGGTTGCCTTCTGTACACCAAGACTGGCTCTGCCCCACACCTCACCCATCAAACGCTGCATAATATTCACGCGCTTCCTGCCATGGCTCAGCTTACACTGTCATCACTGTAAGTGTTAGAACCTGTCATTCAAGTATCGACTCCAGCAGCAGCTTAGTTATGTTACTTGGGTACAACAAAGAGAAAGATTTCTTTTGCTCATATGTATAATTTGTAGATTTTCAGAATGAAATCAGAAGAAAAACATCAGATGTGATACATCCTCTGGCTATAATCTGGAAGCCATGGCGAGACCTATCTATTAGAGGTGCTTTACTTTTCCTCCAAATGTGCAGTCCCAGGCTGGTCTCATTGCCACTGTACCCAAGATTGACAGGGCAGGGAATCCTCTGTGAGAGCTAAACTTGGAGTTCTGGGGCTATCATGCACCAGTCTCAAAATTTTTTCTGCGTCTGCACATGTACTTGCTAATACTCCTTTATGGAAGCATAACTAATGAAGTTAGATCATTTTATGCAGTGTACATACTGACCTTATATGTAATTGAACAGGCTGCTATATGGCTAAATAAGTCTGCAGTATTGTGTTAAATAATAGTGATTTTAAAGTGGTAAGAGGAAAAAGAAAATCCAAGCAGCTGATCTCTGCCAGTTTATCTTCTCACAGAACCACTTTTAAATTGAAGACTTTTATTGTGGTTAATGAACCTCACCTTGTTACTTTTAGATAATAGTGTACTTGTTATTCAAGATTGCATTTACTATCACATAGTTTATTTGGGCGAGGAGAAGGGCTCCAGTTGTTGTATGGAGTTATCTGTAGAATAATTCATTATTTTGTTATATATTTTTTTATTTTGTTTATAGGGCAGAACATCATGAAGTCTTGGCAGAATATAAAGAAGGAGTTGGAAAGTTTATAGGTAAAAATTGATTAAGTATTTGTATATGCTTTGTGATGTGTTAATCTGAAGCTCAGAGGTGCTGTTGACTAAAAGATCAACTTTCTTTTTTTTTTTTGAGACAGAGACTCAAGCTGTCCCCCTGGGTAGAGTGCTTTGGCATCACAGCTCACAGCAACCTCCAACTCCTGGGCTCACGCGAGTCTCCTGCCTTAGCCTCCTGCCTTAGCTACTTAGTCCCAAGTAGCTGGGACCACAGGCACCCGCCACAATGCCCAGCTATTTTTTGGTTGCAGCTGTCATTGTTGTTTGGTGGGCCAGGGCTGGATTCGAACCTGCTACCTTAGGTGTATGTGGCTGGCGCTTTAGCCACTTGAGCCACAGGCGCCAAGCCTGAAAGATCAACTTTCATTCGTACATTTATTTGTTCATTATTTTAATGAGCATTTTTTTAACATCTAAGAACCTGACATTGGGGATACATAGTTGAATAGGAAACAGTTACTGCTCTCATGGAAGTTGGAGTCCAGCTAACGTAAAGAGAAATGGGTAATTTTAGTAGGAATATAGGAATTGCTTTGTGAGATTAGGGATATGTACATATATCATGATAGGCCAGAGTCAGGAACATAAAACCTGCTCTGCAGCTTGGTGTCTGTAGCTCAGTGGCTAGAATGCCAGCCATATACACCAGAGTTGGTGGGTTCGAATCCAGCCTGGGCCTGCCAAACAACAATGACAACTACAACAACAAAATAGCCAGGTGGGCTATTAGTTGTGGCGGTGCCTATAGTCCCAGCTACTTGGGAGGCTGAGACAAGAGAATTGTTTAAGCCCAAGAGTTTGAGGTTGCTGTGAGCTGTGATGCCATGACACTCTACCCGGGCAACAGCTTGAGACTCTGTGTGTCAAATAAAAAAAACAAAAAAAAACCTGCTCTGAGGTATATGTGGAAGGTGTTAAATAAAGAAAGGATTCTTGAGGGAGAAGATGAGGGATCATCTTAGCTGAGTCAAAGAAGAGCAAGTTTTAGCCAGTCAGAAGCAGAAACAGCAGGTGGTAGTACCCAGGTGCTGGGCAGACACACTCCAGGGAATGCACAAAGACCTGGAGGTGTGAGATCCAAAACATTCTCATTATGCTTAAGCCTCAAACATACAGGGAAGATGAACAGTTTATATACAGCTATATTCTGATATGTTGATAGTATCTTTTGTTCCAGAAGTAGGATTTTATATGCAGATGTATGTGTCCGTTTATTTATAGGAATAGCTTAGCAGTAACAGCTAGAGAACCAGTTCTTTTTTTGTTTTAGAAACAGAGTCTCACTTTATCGCCCTCAGTAGAGTGCTGTGGCATCACAGCTCACAGCAACTTCCAACTCTTGGGCTTAAGCAATTCTCTTGCCTCAGCCTCTCAAGTAGCTGGGACTACAGGTACCTGCCACAACATCCGGCTATTTTTTTTTGTTGCAGTTGCCATTGTTGTTTATTTGGCCCAGGCCTAGTTCAAACCTGCCAGCCTCAGTGTATGTGGCTGACACTGCAATCACTGTTCTACAGGCGCAGAGCCGAGAACCAGTTCTTCTGTAGACCATTTTCTACTGAACTTTTTCCTCAATATCTAGGACTCATTTATGTGAATGAAAATTCTGTTTCTGTTGGTCATTAACTCCTCTACTTCTGAGGGCTACTGCATGATGATTTTTTGGTTATCATAAGGCCTTGTATTTCAGCAGAGGAATTTATGTAATACGATTCTTTTTGATCTGAGGCCAATTTTAATACTACAGCTTAAAAGTATACAAGTATATAGTTAAGGGAAAATAATATAAGCTTTCTAGAGATAATTATAATAATTAAAATTGGAGAAATAAGATGAATAAATGCAGAGATTTTTAGCATTCTTGTTTATTTTTCTCTTTTTCAGTGGAATCTTGTTTTTCTTTTTCTTATGGAAATGTGGTATATACTTGACCCTGGCATATATGTTTTACTAAACATTTTTTGTTGTTTTTTAAAATGTTTATCTTTTTGACTAAGGAACTTAAGAAATTGTCATCTTGAATCGATGAAATTTACTAAGAATGAGATCCCTCTGCAGTATTCTACACTTTCTCTATCATTCTGTCATTAGGGACTCATGATATTATTAATGAGATCACCTTATGACCATATCAATTTTCATCTTTCCATGAACTAGTTCCCCTTGGATGGTGCTTAGAATAAGCATACTTGATAGTAAATTCTTTAAATCAAATCAAGTGGGATCAGCATGTCACTAAATACTGTCATTGTATCTCATATTCTAAGATTAGATGTGAACATTTAAATTTAGGTTTTTTTAGATTAGTAGGTTTCAGAGTAATCTTTTCATTCATATGGATAGGCCTCCTATAGTTCCAAGACCAGATACCAACTCTTTACTGTCTTTAGAGTTGCTTTATTCAGCAGTACATATTGTGTGCTATTCACTGTCTCATTGTCTGGTACAGTGTTGTTGCTGATACTTTCAAGGCTTCTTTTCTGTGTTTACACAGGCATGCCAGAGTCACTCTTGTACTGCTCCCTACACGATCCAGTCAGTCCTTGTCCAGCTGGTTATGTAACAAACAAGGTATGTTTTCAGGACTTCAGGGCTGCATCTTTGTCCCAAAAGTCCACCTGTTGTATCCCTTAGATGCTGGGATCCCACTGTCTGGGATGGTCCTTTTATGTCTTCTCCTTATTTCTATGATTATAGTGGGACAGGATGATTTATAAAAGGATGAAATTGTTGTATCATCATTGTTGCAAAAAATTTGAGGGTGGTGGAGAGTCAAGTATATCCCCAAAACAGAAATTGCTATGATACGAAAAACAATTTTAACAACTTCAGGAAGAGTGGAGAAAGTTGCTAGGGATGATCACATCTACTACTGTGTAAAGTAGAACCACAATATAATACTGCCTACTGGTAGAATAGAATTTGAAAAAGTGGGCTCTACAGGCAGAGATTTTATCTAGTGAAGAACAGTGTCAAAAGGACTTCATTACCCTGTCTCTAAAAATAGCTGGATGTTGTGGTGAGCACCTATAGTCCCAGCTACTAGGGAGGCTGGGACAAGAAAATCGCCTAAGCCCAAGACTTTGAGGTTGCTGTGAGCTATGATGCCATGGCATTCTACCAAGGATGGCAAAGTCTCAAAAAAAAAATAAAAGGACTTCATTAAAAGTTTTTATCTGAGAGGTGGCTGCATTGGCGGTATCCCTGGGGCCAGCATCCTGGCAAGGCTTCAGTGTGCACTGCTGCTTTACAAATGCACTTGTTCTGCCCTCACTTTATTAATGTCAGCAATGCTCATTAATGGTACCTAAGAACACTATTTTCAGTTATTCTGTTTTAAGCCTTTTATTTTGTAATTTGAATTCTTTTTTTTTTTTTTTGAGACAGAGCCTCAAGCTTTCCCCCTGGGTAGAGTGCTGTGGCATCACAGCTT